CGATTTCGTCAGGACCCCCGCTCCCATCTGAGACTTCCTCACAATTTGCTCAGGAACGGCGCTCCCGCTTGAGATTTCCTCGCAATTTAAACAAGAGAACCTCTCACACTTTATTCAAGCATTGCGCTCTCGCCTGTGACTTCCATGCAATTTATTCAGAACTCGCGCTTTCGACGCTCAGGAAACACGCTGAGCCAAGGACGCCGTTGCAATTTACTTAATCGCGCTCTCGCCATACAGAAGCATCCCGCTTGAATGTCTCACCCGCCCGACCCGCCCGTCAGGGGATCGCCCGCCCGTCGTGGGTTCCCGCCCGAAATTTCCTTCAGGAACGGCGCTTTCACCTAGGACTTCCTCGAACGTTCACGCTCCTACCTTCCTGTTCCTCCTCCCTCTCCCTCCTCCCTCTCCCTCCTCTCCTCCCTTCTCTCTCCCTCCTCTCTTCCCTCATCCTCATGCCTCTCTGCCCTATCCCCTCTCCCTCCGCTCCCTCCTCCCTCTCCCTCCCCTCTCCTGCCTCCTCCCTCCCTCTTTCTTTATTTTTGTTTTTTTTTTCTCTCTCTCTCTCTCTCTTTCTCTCCCCTTTCTCTCTCTCTCTCTGTCTCCCTCTACCTCTCTTATCTGTTTTTTTCGCTCTCTCTCTCTCTCTCTCTGCCTCTAATCTAATCAACCTCCCCCCTCTTCGCTCCTTCTCTCCTGGTGTTCTCCCTCTTCCTTCGTCCCTCCCCCTCCCTTCATCCCACTCTCCCTCGTTCTCCCCCTCCTCTTTTTGCAAGGCCCACGCAAATTCCAATGGCGGGCGCATGTACGCCCACGAAGGATTGTCCGCCCGTTCAGGTTTGCCCGCCTGTCTAAGCCCGCTGCCCCCCGCAAAAATAGATAATCCCCAAGGGGGTGTGATCGAAAACAAAAAGAGCGGGTTCAAAGGGTGTGGGGAACTCGTTTTGAATGACACACGGGCAAGTAAGAGCGAACCGTCTTATAATGATTGTTGTTGTTGTTGTTGTTGCTGTTGTTGTTGTTGGTGGTGATTGGCTTTCTACGCCGCGGTACGGGAGAGAAGCAGGCCGCGTGCGCGCGCTCGGGCAAACGGGGGGCCGCCTTGCGAACTGTCCAGACGCGAAAGGGGACAGCGGATAAGAGTCCCGAGATCGATGGGGACATGTTTTACCGTCGTGGCGCGGGAGTGGCGGGCCGCGCGCGCGCTCGGGCAAACTGGGGGGCTGCCTTGCGAGCTGTCCGGAAGCAGGGGGGGACTGCAGACAAGGCGAGACGCGACTGTGGGCCCGCACCTCTCCCAGCTCGTCCAGGGTGTGGCGGGCTGCGGCGGCAGGGGAGGCCACAGGCGCCAAGCAGGAAGAGAGGGGAGGCCGCGGGGGGGGGGGGAAAGGAACGAATGCGCTCACGCAGCGGGGTGAGGCAAATGGGGCGCCCGAGCCTGTGCTGCACCCCTGGCAGCGGGCACGGGGCGGCGTCGCGACCACACCCAGGGGCCAGGGCAGCGGCTGCAGTGCGGGAGGTCGACGACCAGCAAACCGGAAAGGACTGAAAACATGAGATCGTCGGAGATCTCGGTGCCTCCCCAGACCCTCAACGTCGTCGTGGTTTTTGCACGACGTGGGCCCGTCGAGATCTGGACCCATTCCCAGAGACTGGTTCCCGAGCCTCGTTTGACCACCCTGAGCTGTCGTTTGACAACCCCGATGCCCGGACAGGGCCCCCAGAGGCAAAAAACAGCCAAACAACTGAGAGGAGGTAGGAGGAGAAGGAGGAACATGAATAGGAGGAGGAGGCGGAGGAGGGGAGAAGGAGGAGGAGGAGGAGGAGGAGGAGGAGGAGGAGGAGGAGGCGGAGGAGGCGGAGGTGGAGGAGGAGGAGGAGGAGCAGGAGGAGGAGGAGGAGGCGGAGGAGGAGGAGGAGGAGGAGGTGGCGGAGGAGGGGGGGAGGAGGAGGAGGAGGAGGAGGAGGAGGAGGAGGAGGAGGAGGCGGAGGAGGAGGAGGACGAGGAGGAAACAACTCCCGCCGTGCTCTCTTCACGACGCGAGTGGCCTCCGCGGCTGGCGAGAGACCCCCAGCATCGAACATCGGCGGGGCACCGGGCCGACGGCGGGGTCGGCCGAGATTCGGATCGAGGATGCCATTCCATGCGTCGTTTTGCTTCTCCACGTCAGTGGCGGCCAGGCCACGGACGCCCTGAAGCAGATCGACGCCTTTTCCTTCTACTACTCCTGATCCCCTTCCCCCTTCCTCCTCCTTCCTCCTCCTTCTACTGCTCTTTCCTCCTCTTTCCTCCTCCTCTTGCCTCCTCCTCCTCTTTCCTCTTCTTTCCTCCTCCTCTTTCCTCCTCCTCCTCTTTCCTCCTCCTCCTCTTTCCTCCTTCTCCTCCTCATCCTACTTCTTCCCCTTTCCTCCTCCTCTTTCCTCCTCTTCCTGACTACGCTGTGCTCGTTCCGCCTCGCCGCACCTTTGACCATCCAGTGGCTCTCTCCTAGCAATCGGGTCTTTCCTCACAAACTTTCTGGGCGATAGCTCCCGTGTCCAGCTACAGTCGGGGCCTTGACCTAAGGAACCCTAAATAAAGAACGAGGCCCCTTTTTTCCATAAGTTAAACTTCGATTTCCTATCGAAAACAGAAGGAAAACCTGAGGCAAGCTGTGAAACACTTAAGGAACGCGGAGCCCCTCCCCAACCAACAGGGTTCCTTCTTCAGGGCCCCGACTGTAGGGGCTTTCCAGGCGCCCCACTTTCGTGACCCTCTCGTGGAGCTGTGCGACGCGTCTTCCCCCTTTGACCTGCCGCCACGCTTTTGGTGAGGATGCGAGGCTCTGCCCTTCCAGCGGAACCGCACGAAACATTGAGATTTGTGGCCGCAAGGCCACCCTTGCAACCTTCAATGCTCTGACGGATCTAAGAGAGCACGGGTGCAGACCGACTCTTCCCCGAACACTGCCCGCCCTCCTGGGCACCCGTGCTCTGGCCTGCTACCTGCCGGGCCACAAGCCCTGAGGCTGCCCCAAGGACAGGACCAGCAAATCCATCCCAATGGCACGGGCCTTCCCCAGCCTGGCCATCGCTCGGACGTCCATTCCCCGTGTTTTTTTTTGGGGGGGTTCGTGCGTGGTTTTCTCGCCAACTGATCAAGGATGCTCCTCGATGGTCCTCGCCGAAGGAACCGTGCACACGTCCCAGGGTTTCTGCTAGTGCTCTGGCGCCCGGGGGAGGAGGACGGGGGGGAGGGGGCGCGGCGCGGCGTGGAAGATACAGTGGGAGCGTTGACCTAAGGAACCCTAAATGAGGAACGAGGCCCCTTTTTCCTCTAAGTTGAACTTCGATTTCCCAGGGGAAACCTCAAGAAAACCCGAGGTAAACTTTGAAACAATCAAGGAACACCGAGCCCCTCCCCAACGAAAAGGGTTCCTTCTTCAGGGCCCCGACTGTAGAGAGGCAAACAGAAGTCGCGCGCGCGGGTCCCTTGCCGTGCTGGCCTCCTCCCCGCAGTACGAGCTTTTGACGCGAGCGTTTCTTCATTCCGAAGACGCTGAAGGCCCTGAAGACTGAATAGTCTGCCCTGAAGACCGAAGAATCGAGCCGCATGCGCCGGCGGCACTGCGCACTAGGACCGATGGCAAAGACAAGTCGAGTGCAATGGCGTCCTTGACTCCAGGGGGAAAAACCTCACAGAGAGCACGCAAGACCTTGCAGCAGCTGTTTCCCTGGGCCAGGCCCCAGCCCCCAAGAAACAGCATCTCCTGCCCCGACCAGAACAGCCTGCGTTTAGGTCGGGCATGTCCTCCTACAGCCGGATTTGGGAAGACAAATTCGAAAATTGTCACAACAATACGCCAACATAGTCCAACACTCGTCCCCGTACGATGTTTGGACTATCTTCGGATATCCCCCCTGCAGAGGGACAGGCCCGGCCTAAGCCTGCATCGGGCGGGCCTCCCCTGGCAGGACCGCCACGCCGGGCGCCTCCCACGCCGCGCGCTGCTGCAGGTCCCCGGAGGCGCGCCCGAGGGCGTCCCACGCCGCGGGCGCGGGCGGGGTCCGACGGGAGGCCCGCGCCCACTGCGCCCCCCGGAGGCGCCACGGCGGCCCAGCAGCTCGCGGCCGCCCGCTCATCCGCCTGTCCCTGATGGGCCTGTCTGCCGCCACCACCACCCCCACAAATTGGAGGGGGGAAGGAGGAGGACGAGGAGGAGGAGGAGGAGGAGGAGGAGGAGGAGGAGGAGGAGGAGGAGGAGGAGGAGGAGGAAGACGAGGACGAGACGAGGCGGAGGGGAGGAGGAGGAGGAGGAGGAGGAGGAGGAGGAGGAGGAGGTGGAGGAGGACACCCTCTCCCTCCAACCTTTGGTGGTGGTGGTGGTGGAAAACAGGCCCATCACTTCCCGTCTCCTCTCTGCCTCCGAACTCGGGGGAGGCAAACCGATTGGCCCCCTGTTGACCTTCGGTGTACGGCCATCGTGCCCACCACTGCCCGTCTTCCCTCGGCGGAGCCGGTCCTGGAACCACTTCGCTGAGACCTCGTGTAATTCGCTCCTGCTCTTTTTCGCCCAGCACGTCGTTGCTGGATAGAGGAGGAGGAGGAGGAGGAGGAGGAGGAGGAGGAGGAGGAGGAGGAGGAGGAGGAGGAGGAGGAGGAGGAGGAGGAGGAGGAGGAGGAGAGGAGGAGGAGGAGGAGGAGGAGTAGGAGTAGGAGTAGGAGGAGGAGGAGGAGGAGGATGAGGAGGAGGATTGCTGGATATTCGAAGGTCCCAGCAGGGTGAACGTCATCTCTGCCTAGAATTTGCTTTCGTGCAGCTGGAGGCGCGCCGGCGCCCGCTGGTGCGGGCCCAATCGAAGCAAGCAGCCGCGGATCCATGTTCCACCACAAAAAAACGGTCCTCCAACCTTCTCCTCTTCTTCTTCTCCTTCCTCCTCCTCCTCCTTCTCCTCCTCGTTTTCTTTCTCATTCTGCGTCTCCTCCTCCTCCTCCTCCTCCTCCTCCTCCTCGTCCCGGCCTGCTGGCGCCGCAAGGACCGACGGCGCCGGAGCTGGCGTCGACGCCCTGGCCGCAGGGGCGGCAGAGGCACGAATGAGGAGGGGGAGGAGGAGGACGAGGAGGAGGAGGAGGAGGAGGAGTCGGAAGCCTTGGCAACTGATGATCCCTGGTCTCGAGAGGCTAGGGCTCGTCTCGTATGTCCTACGAGCTCGGATGCTGCTGGCGGCGCTATCGGCATTACAGTGGGGTCAGCCTACGGGTCCCCTGCTTTTGTTAAACCGTATGGGCCCGTTCCAGCTCGGTGCAGAGCCCCGTAAAAAAAGAAATAGCATCACACAAATGTAATGGAACGGTCGGAGGGGTTATGGCACTGTGGCCAATTCCCCTCGTCTCGGGAAGCGGTGCGTGTGTTTGCTCACGTCGTGGTCTTCTTCGAGGCCGCTCGTTCGCTGTGCAGACTCTGTCCCTCCCCCCGATCCCCACCACATCCCCTCCGCACGATATGTAGTTGCTAGCCTCGAACAAGGGTTTCCTCGCTCGGGCACGCTGGACAATGTAACGGGCTTCCTCGGGCCGCTCGGGTCGCCAGTACTTCGAGCTGCGAACGCACCGTGCCTCCGACGAGGAAGGCCCGCAGGCCAAAGAAAAAATAAGCACAAAGAGAAAAGCCGACGCACCCAGGACCACCGCGGGAGGAAGCATCGGCCCCCCAGGAACGCAAGCTGGGAGGGGGAGGCGGTGGGATGCAATAGACAGACGGTGAGCCTCAGACTATGTTGAGGGTCGCTCGCGCAGTCCTTCTCGTAATATCGTTAGTGGGTGGTCTACCGGCCGCGAAGCCGAATTGAGAAGAAGTGTGAAGAAACAAAATACTGTGGTATGTTCTCACTCACTTACGCGGTCTCATCCGCGCTAGCAGCTCTCTGGCTCTCTCACTGCCACTTTGCACCGTTGCTCTCAACCCTGCCACGTTCATTGCCCCAACGCTGGCCGCGCTTGGAGTTCTTTCTGCAACTGCCTCTCGAGCGCCGTCGGGGGAGGTGCGCCATGTATCTGCTCCGCTTCATGTGCTTGGGTGCCCTGCACGTCGCTGCTCGGAGGTCTTGTATGCTGAACTGCCCAAGCGTGATCGGTTCCTCTGTGTTGCCCTGCCTGGTGTTGCTGGTCTCGCCCTCCCATTTCTTGATCCACCGCGTCGAGCTCAGCGGGTTAAACATGATGTGGATCTTCCGCCTCGACGGTTGGTCTGCCTCGCTGTAGGCTTTCGCCACCTTGAAGTAGGTTCGGATGCCCGCAAACTCCCCCATCGGCATGGCCTCGATCAGCTGCCCCAGCTCTTGTATGACCCTTTTCGTTTCGCCCTCGAGTGTCTGCGCCTTCGCCACCACCAGGAATAACTTCACTCCTATGTGCAGGTTGGGCGATCCCATTACTTTGCTGCCCTTGGTCTTGACCTCCTCGGCGTAGTTGGCTCCCACTGCCGCTGCGGCCTCGACTAGCTCCAGCTCGCCCTCGGTTAGGGAGAAGTCCCACATGCTGCCTGACTTCATCCTGATCATCTGCGCGCTGTTCAGAGATAGCTTCTGCATGGGGGTGGTCTCGTCGTGGCCTGCTCCTGGTACATTGTCGTCGGAGCCGCGCGAGTTGCCAGCGCCTTTCCTCTGGCCTCCACGTTGTTGCTTTGTTGGTTGTGCCGCAGATGGTGCCGCGTCCATCGTCTGGCTCTTTGGCCCCCCTCCTTTGGCGGCGCCTGCTCACGCGTTCGTGCGGGCGGTCATGGTGTGCAGGTTCCTCACGTTGTGCGCGCGTGATGCGTGCCGTTCGTGCTTTTACAGCAGTGAAAGACATGCCGCATCCTTGTCCTTCGCCCTTCTCCCCTACGTACGTGCACGCGTGCTCTTCGATCGTGCTGCTGTTGCTGCTGTCCGTGTCGTGGTTTAGGCGCTCTGTGATGTCCGTGCGCTCTGTCTCTACCGACGCGATGCCCAACTTAGACAATAGGTTGGCTAGCTTATTTGACCCCTCCTCGCTGTGCATTTTCCTGTGATTGCCCGCGGGGGTCTTGGCGAGCCTCGTAGACACCTCGGGGTCCTTGAATACCTGGAGTATGTTTTGCCTGTCGCTCCTGATTCTGACGAAGCGAGCATCGACGTTGGCGAGCGCCTGCAGGTCGCCCCTGGCGACGACTGTTTTGTGATCCTGCTAGTCGGGCTGAGTCTGGGGACCTCGAGTAATCTGTCAAGTTCGACTGTGCCGAACATTGCCGTGAATGCTTGCCGATGGTTGCCTGCTTCTTATGCTATCTGCTGCCGCCGTCGGATCCTCGAAAACTTCGTTGTTGCTCAAGGTCCTCGCTCTGCCGTCAAACTCGCGCTTAGCTTTGCCTGCGTCAAACAGCGGGGCACGCGCGCGAGGACTGAGTGCATCGTATAAGTGAACTCCTTTGGCAGCACGAGCGCGGCGCGACCCGGGATAGCCGCGCTATAGACGAAGCGCAGGAAAGGGGCGCGAAGCAGGCGGCGATGGAGAGGTTGGCGCCAAACTTCGCCCTGTGATCTCCATGCGGCCCGGGCCCCTCTGACGCGCTCTTTCAATTCTGTTCTCAGCACTCAGTCGAACCCATGATGGGCCCCGAGACTCCCGCTTCCCGACGTGCTTCTGCTTGGACTCGTTTCTGTCTGGGTAATTCTCGAGCTGCTTCGAAGGGGCCCTGGCCGTGAAACCTGATGAGGTGGTTTGTCTTGTCTGCATTCAGGAAGTGCCCGTTGTTCTGACTGTAATCCTGGAGCCCGTGCGTGGCGTGATTGCGCTGCTGCGTGATGTATCGTGCTTGTGGCGCATATGCATGTGTGTGTAGCCTGGATGCGTCACCTACGAATAATCCGGTGCCGAGGTGTACGTCTTCGTTGGTCACTGGGCACTTCCCTCTGGCACATTCATAGCTGGCGTCGCCCTCTGCAAGGCTGGAGTTCCAGCGCTGCACCGCAGGCGGGTCAATGTCAACGAAATCTCCTGCGGCTAGCGAGTGGCCCATGGGTCTTGCCACTATGCGGGTGACAATCTGCCGCGCCATCTATAGCTTCCACATGAACAGTTGCTTGCAATGCTGCTTTGTCTGCGAGCTGTATGTGTTCTGCTCAGCAGGTTTGGATATGTAACTGTGTGAGGCTGTTGCGGGTAGTACATGTGAACGAGTTCGCGCCATCGTAGTTGCTGATGGTGTGGCTTATTTTTGTTGTTCTGTTTCTCCAGCTTGCTGCTGCTAGGCTAAGTATGCATCCCTCCCTCCTTCGCCCTCTACGTCCCCGCGTGCAAAGTCAGGCGGGGTCGGCCTCCTGGAAGTTCTCTGAAGGTGTCCGAAACCGGACATCCCAAACGCGTCGAAGCTGCGTCATATTCTCTGCCCCATTGATACCCTGCTTCTGGTTGTTCTTGTTCTGCGAGAAGGCATGCCTCCTAATGCAGCGTAGTGGTGCTGCTCCCACCAGTCGAACAAGGGCTAGAAAGTAATTGTATCGCCTGGAGAAAACTGTAGGCGCGAACTTGCGGTCGTTTTCGTTCATGTAACGTTTGGGGTCGATGCTCATATACAGGGCCTCTGATTGCGCCCCCCCTGGTCCTGCTCGTCGTTTGGGGGCCCGCCTTAAGTATTGGATCTGTCCCGCTCTGTCGTTTTTTTGTATAAGGTCAACTGGGTCGGGGGCGCCGAACGAGCGGGGCAGGAAGGCGCTGTCGTCGGTCCACTGCTGCCGGTCGATCTGCTCGCTCTGCACGCCTCCGTGCTGTGGCGGGTGGGCGAAGCCATCTGTCCACTGCTGCGCAGTAGTGCCTTGCCGAGGTGCAAAAAAAGAAGCGTTTTTTTGGTCCAGCTCCCGCCCAGGGGCCCTGATCCGGTTGTAACCAAGGACCTGATGGAAATTCATGCTCTTGAAGCCGAGCGTCGTCTGGGAGATCCACGTGGCGGCGCTCGGTGCGATGGGGTAGAGAGCGGGAAGAACGGGAGAAACATAATCGATAGGTCACCCGAGAATTAGGTTGGGCATGTCCCCCTACAGGCGGATCTTGCGCGCAAAATTATCAGCGCTCAAAAATACCCCAAGCATGTTCAAATTTAGCAACCAAAAAAACGCCCCAAAACTATTTTTGGCGATTTCCGAATTCTCCCCCTGTAGAGGGACAGGCCCGACATAACCCGATAATAGAATGACGTGTGAATCGTCTTGATTCCCCTCGTGGATCTCAACCACAGGCTCCGCTGCCACTGTGGATTGCACTGGTGTGACTGTAGGGATATAGAGAGACACAAGGTACAATTTTGGGGACCCGTGCTGGAAGAAAGCACGTTCTCTTGCCCTTTATGGAGGCGTGGGCGCGTCCGTCACCGGCGCGCCGCGATAGCTCAAGGGCCCTTGCAAGCCGATGTGGCGGCGCACAAGGGAGTGCAGAGAGAGGCGCAGGAGGAGGGGAGGCAGCCGGAACGCCGACTCGCCTCAGAAGATGAAGCTCTTCCCTCCGTAGGTACCGTAGCCATTCCACGTGCTACCAGGTCCTCAGCGACGCGCAGCTGGTACAGCTTCGCAAACACGTAGGACTCGAGAGCATCTCTAAGAGAGATCTTTGTCTGACTCAAGGTCCGTGATGACGACGAATTCATCCGACTTCGCTGCGTCCGTAGCCTGCCCCATCTGGTCCATGAAACTCTGTGGCTCGGTTCCACGGTGGTCGTATGTTTTACCAGTGCGCTCCAAGAACCGATCTGCCGCAATGAGCTCCTTGGCCCACTGAGGAACCCACCTCTCGTCCTTGGGAACCAGCTTGACCTCGAGCATCGGGAAGTCGGAGTCCTCGATCGCTTCATCTGAGCACGCGTGCACACTCGGAAACGCTGTCGGGATGGCCATTGCCACGAGGTACATCCTGACCGTGCGAGTCCAGACCTTGTGCCATGCAAAGAATTGCTCCTTCGCCTGTATCTTGCCCCAGATCTCCCTCATCGCCGTAGTGTTGATCCAGAGCGCCTTGATGTAGACGCTGCCTTCGGTCTGGCACCACTGCTTGTGGACGTGCGGCTTGGGATCGCCTGCGCGACGGTAGCGATCCACTTGCAGCTCGAAGATGCAATAGTACAGGTTCATCTCTGGGCTGACGTCCGACGGCACATGCACCATGTACTGAATGCGAGAGGTGCGGCGAGACGTCCTCTCACAGAAAATGCCGTAGACGTTCTCACAACTCGAAGGTCCTGGCTTCAGCTCCGCGCCGCTGTGGATTGTACGGGTGTGGCTGTATGGATATAGAGAGACGCAAGGTACACATTGGGGGACCCGTGCTGGAAGGAAACGCGTTCGCTTTCCCTTCACGGAGGCGTGGGCGCGTCCGTCACCGGCGCGCCATGATAGGTCAAGGGCCCTTGTGAGCCGATATGGCGGCGCAGAAGGCAATACAGAGAAAGGCGCAGGAGGAGGAGAGACTGACAGGGACCAGGAGGAGGAGAGACTGACAAGGACTCTGCAACCACAGGGGTCCACGGAAGTCCCGACCCTTTCCTTGGCACCGGTTTTTCATCCTGAGTCGTTTTTTGGCGGTCCTGCGTCCGGGCGAAGGCTTCCACGTAGAAGCCGAGCAGGGCGAAACACCTCCATCTTGATTCTTTTCAATACGTTGGCTCTCCGGGAGGGGCCCTGGCGGACACGGGGCCTGGCCCCGGAGGGCCTTCGCAAGGACCGGCGTTGCCTCCAGGGTCGCCCTTGGTCGGCCCCCCCGGGGCCCCAGGGAGGGCACCGGAGAGGCCGAGGGCGTGCTGAGAAACCTCCAGTGCCCAGGTCTTCAAGGGGGCCTAGGGACACACACGCACAGATCAATAGGCACAGATCGCGTGATTCTAAAACTTTGCTTCTCGTCATAATATACGGATTCTCGTCTTTTCCCTCCACTTCCCGCACCGTCCCATTTGTTTGTTCATGAAGATTTGCGTTTCTCTGTGCCTGTGCCCATTTTCCCTTCCTGGTCTCTGCATGCTGATTCCTGTTCCTTCCCGCTTCCCGCCTCCGCGCCTCGCCCCGCCAGCCCTCGTCGCCGTTTGCCTGCTTTCCCTCCCTTCCCCCGCTGGGCAGCGCAGACTGCGACGAGCCCGGGGCGTGCGTCAGCATATAAGCTTTTCGGTGAAGCGGCCCAGACAAAGTCATGGTTGATATATCCTCTGACTCACACCATGACGCTCATTCAGGCACGGGGGCTCCCCACCCCCGCTCGTACCTGCTCGTCCCTGCTCGTCCCTGCTCGTCCCTCCTCCTCCTCCTCCTCCTCCTCCTCCTCCTCCTCCTCCTCATTCTCCTCCTCTGGAGCCAGGGTCGGGTTGAGCCTGAAGGTGATGGCCCAGGCAGCAGCTGTCCTGTCCGAGTGTGCCCCCGCGAAGAAAGAGCCAATCAGAAAAAGGTCCTCCTCCTTCCAACACCCGAAGGGCACAACACATATTCATACATGTCCTCGTCCACGGGCCTCCTCGGCCCCCCCTCCCTTTTCCGCCTCCTGCTCCTGCTTGGTAGAACTACCCTCTCTCGTCGGTTTGGTACCAGCATACAAAAGCGGACCATGTCGGTTGAGCCGCCCTCTCCTGCCGATCTGGTACCAGGCCCGTGTCCCCCTCCTCCGCCTCCCCCTCCCTCTTCTTCCTCCTGCTCCCCCTCCAAGCCCAGGAGCGCAGAGGGGTGCCGGATAATCGAACTCTGGTCCGCCTCACTCCGCTCCTCTCTGACCCCTCCTCGCCTCCTCCGCCTTCCTCCAGCCCCCTCCCTCCTCCCCTCCCCCTCCCCCCTCCTCCATCCCTCCCCCCCCCCTTTCTCCCCCTCCTCCCATCCCCTCCCCCCATCCCCCCTTCTCTCCTCCCCTCCTCCCCTTCCCCCCTCCCCCCCTCCTCTCCACAATTACACAATATGAATACTACTCTCCTCTCGCCCCTGGCGACGTCCCGGAAATGGCCGGCCGCACTCCGCGTACTGGGTTTTCTATAACAAGATTCCCGGGTAACGGGTTTTCGCTTGGGCTTTGTTCTGCCTGCTGCTCTCGCTTAGGCGTTGGCTTCATTTTCGGGCCACCGCTCGTTCCGAATCGTGCTCCCGCTGCAGCGCTGGCCTCACTCCCGCGCTTCCGCTCGTTCCGAATCGTGCTCCCGCTGCAGCGCCGGCGTCATCATTTCCAGTGCCATGCCACGTCGGCATTGTTTCGGTCCTTGCAAATAATCCCCAAACTCTAGAAAATAGCCTCCCGAAGAAACCTTTGGAAGAGATTGGGGCGTCGCCACGCCCTGCTATGTCATGCTACGCGTTGATCTTCAACACCATGCTATGCCATGTAATGCTATGCCGTGCTACGACATCTGATCGTGCGAATAGAGAGGAGATCTGCGTCATGGTACGGGATTGGAGGGAGGGGTAGGACGTCGGATATGACGCGAGCGCACCTGGCTTATCTCCTCCCCTCCTCCCCTTCCCCCCTCCCCCCTCTCCTCCCCTTCTTTCCTTTTTCTTTCCCCGTCCCCCGTCCTCCCCCTCGCCCGACGACGGAGGCGACGCGATTACGGCACCGATGCCCCGCCGAAGGGACGGGCCCGCTCCTCGGGGATCTTCTGACCCGGGTCAATCCAGACCCGGGTCAGTCAGGCCTCGCAGAGTCCTGCAAGATCCTGCGCCCAAGCCCGGGCCAACGCGAAGGATCCTCTGCAAGATCCTGCAGGACCCTGCGCCCGAGCCAGGGCCCATGCGACCCTGGCCCTGCAGGATCCTGCAAGATCCGGCGCTCTGGCTGACCCCCGCTCGCACCGACCCCCGCTGGCCATCGCTCGGACGTCCATTCCCTGTTTTTTTTCGGTTTCGTGCGGGTTTTTTTCGCCAGATGATCAAGGATGCTCCTCGATGGCCCTCGCCGAAGGAAAAATGCACACGTCCGAGCGATGCCAAGCCCGTTTCAGGGCTCCCGACCGCTCCGCGCGGGCTGCGGCCCTGGGGGGGGAGGAGGAGGAGGAGGAGGAGGAGCAGGAGGAGGAGGAGGAGGAGAGGAGGAGGAGGAGGAGGAGGAGGAGGAGGAGGAGGAGGAGGAGGAGGAGGAGGAGGAGGAGAGGAGGAGGAGGAGGAGGAGAGAGGAGGGGAGGAGGAGGAGGGAGGAGAGGAGGAGGGGGAGGAGGGGGAGGAGGGATGGGAGAGGTGAGGAGGGAGGAGGGAGGAGGGAGGCGAGGGAGGGAGGGAGGGAGGAGGGGGAGGGAGGAGGGAGGGGGAGGGGAGGAGGGGGAGGGAGGAGGGGGGATGGAGGAGGGAGGAGGGAGGAGGGGAGGAGGAGAGGGAGGGAGGAGGGGAGGAGGGAGGAGGAGGAGGAGAGGAAGAGGAGGAGGAGGAGGAGGAGGAGGAGGAGGAGGAGGAGGAGGAGGGGGCCCTGGGGGGGGGGGCGGGCCCGTGGCCGCGCCTGCGCGTGCCCGACGCTCTGCATGCGGTCCTGCACCGGGGGAGGGGCCCTCGCCCTCGCGCGCGCTCTCGCCGTCGCCGCCGCCGCCGCCGCCGTCGCCTTCGCCGCCGCCGTCGTCGTCGCCGCCGTCGCCGTCGCCGTCGTCGTCGTCGGCGTCGTCGTCGTCGTCGTCGTCGTGCTGGCTTTCATTGATGGTCGCAGTGGTCGTCGCTGCTTGTAGCCGCCGTGGGCGTGGCCGTCGTCGTGCTCGTCGCGGTGGTTGTCGTTGTGTTCGTCGTCGTGGTCGTTGGTCATCATTGTCGTCGTTGTGCTTGGTCCTCGCGGCCGTGGTCGTCGTCGTCGGGCTAGGACTGGGAGGGAGGTAGAGGAAGAGGGATGGAGGATGAGGGGGGATGAGCATGAGGAAGATGGAGGGGGAGGAGGAAGGGATGAGGGACGAGGTATGGAGGGCAGGGATCAAGCTGGCGGACGGTTGAACCGATGCGATCCATGTGGTAGTCGGGGAAAGACGTGGCGCCTTGAGTTATCATCCGAGCGGCCTGGAACCGCCCTGCAGTCTCGCGCGCAATCGCTTCACGAGCTGGGCACCCAAGATGAAGATCCCCTTGCGTGAGCCCGTCCATGTTCCGCTGGGTTTGTGCGCAAGTTGTCAGGGCGACCGTTTGGGTAAACCCCTTTCATAGAGGCCACACGAAGGACGCGGCCACTGACCAAAGCTGGTGGATGGGTTGGAGGCCACGTCAAATTTGTGTCGTGACGACCCCGGCGTTGGTCTCTGATACCGCGCAAGTCGTTCAACCTTCAACGATCGGCGGCTTTCAGATCGTTCTAGATTGGCCGACTCTGTGCGACTGTTGGCGTTCAACCTTGAACGCTCGCGGTGGGGTCGCGGCCCTGCCAACACGACACGAGATTACCGTACCAACAAGCAACCACTTGCAAGCGGCGGCCCGGGCAGCGAGGGGGGCAAGCGGGTGTCGCACACACCCTCGCTCCACGAGAAAGGGGCAACGATGTTGTGGATAATACCCATACCCGCAACGCTGCCATATAATGTACGCTCACATGTACCTGCTGCGGTAGGCGAAGACAAGCTGTTGCTTCCCATGCGTGCTCTGACAGGTTGCCCTGCCGCGTTCAGATGGCGTTCGTGCGAAGGAAGAACGCCCATACGTGGTATATCTGCGTTGCACCAGGCCGGGACGGCTGCGTTATCCCGAGGCCGCCATCAACGTCTGCAATCGCGACCGTCTGAACTCGGGCGGATTTCGTTCGGAGAAGCTCACGAGCAACATGTATGTATACACCTATGTGTATGTATACACATGTTGTGCAATATATGTGATGTTGCCTATCAAGTGCAAGATCTGTAGTGCAACCTATGTTTCTACAATATTTGTTGGCAATACATGTGGTACAATATATGTCGTGCAATCTATGCAAAAACGATCAGCGCGATTGTTGGCGCATTATGTATAGACATGTATATGTGTGGTGCCATCTATGTTGTGAGCGCTCAAAAACCGCGCCGCAGGCGCGGTTGTTTATTTTCGTGCAGTCAGTGTGGTGCAATCCAGCGGCGGCGACGTGCGGCGACGAGGCGGCGACGGGGCGACGACGGCGACGACATAGCTGCCAGACCGCCCAACCCGCAAGACGACGGGCGGCGACGAGGCGGCGACGGGGCGGCGACGCCGACGACACGCCAGACCGCCCAACCGGCGCAGACGACGAGCGGCGACAAGGCGGCGACGGGGTGGCGTAGGCGACGGCATAGCTGCCAGACCACCCAACTGGCCCAGGTCAGTAGAACAGAAGCAATAAATTCTAAGTGCAAGCACTGTTTGGGGAATATGGGACAAGATGGAGACAGAGAGAGAGGGAGAGAAAGAGAAACAAAGAAACAGAGAGAGGGAGAGAGAGAGAGAGAGAGACAACGATCTCTAGGTGTATATGTTGATATATGTGTGTATAAATGATGAGAGAGAGAGAGAGAGAGAGAGAACGAAAGCGAAAGAGGGAGGGAGAGAGGGAGAGAGAGAGAGAGAGACTGAGTGATAGAGAAGCCGAGAGGTGACGATACGTCTGATTCCAGCTCTCTCTATATATATGGATAGGATGAAAGAGGGAAGTCTATATACACATACGCCTACATATATATATATATATATATCCAGAAAAAGAAAAAGAGATAGAGAGAGGGAGCGAAACATAAAACAAGAGAGAATGAGAGAGAGAGAGAGCGACATAAACATAGATAATCAACACACGTCGTGTGTGCATACATACAGACAAGCACACACATGTACACAAGCCTATACCTATACGGTGTATATATACACATACATTCAGTCATACATACATACATACATACATACATACATACATGCATGCATGCATACAAAGATACACACCCTCATACATACATGCGTATTAACTTACATAGTATATACGGCTGCGCGCTCGAAGTCGACTTGCCCTGGGGCCGAACGTATAGCGCGGCAGAGGGGACGTAACAGGATGATCGTGTCGGTGGCTTGGAAGCCCACGCGTTGGCGTCTCAAGTCGCACTTGGTATTCGGGGCAGTCCTGGGCATCTTTGGGTAACATTGGGGATCTCTTGGGAACCTGTTGGGGCTCCGAGGCCATCGTGCAGCCACACTGTCTGAACACGTGGAATTCCAGAACATTTTAAACATTCTTTGGATCACCCTAGGTTTCTGAAAGATCTGGCCCTTTTGGAGGTCCTGTGTGGCACTCCGGCAGCCTCTTGGGGCCGCCTTGGAGCCTCTTTGTAATGTTGGGAGCCTCCTGGGGTAGCCAGGCGGCCTCTTGGGACCGTCTTGGAGCCCTCTTGGGCCGTCTGGGCTCCTCCCGAGGCCGTCGTCGGCGCTCGTGGAGCTCTCGCGGGGCAGTCGTGGGCCATCTTGGAGCAATACTGGGGCTCCCTTGGGGACCTTTTGGAGCTCCGGGGTCCTCTGGGAGCCACGTTTGGGCAACAAGTGAGTACTCGATAGCGTTATGAACAACCTTTGGAACTCCTAAGGTTTTGGACGGATCTGGCCCCTCGGAAGTCGTGCTTGGGCACTCCGGCGGCCTCTTGGAACCGTCTCGGGCCCACTTGTAGCGCTGAAGGGAGCCCCAGGGCCTCTTGGGACCGTCTTGGGGCCCTCTGGGGCTCCTCCCGAGGCCGTCGTCGGCGCTCGTGGAGCTCTCGCGGGGCAGCCCTGGGCTATCTTGGAGCGATATTGGGACTCTCCTGGGGGCTTTTCTTCTGGGGATCCAATGCCATCTTGGAGCATGTTGCCAAAAAGTGAAAACTCCAGAAACTGATGAACAACTCTTGGGAGCTCATCAGGTTTTTGAAGGATTTGGCCCCTCGGAGGTCCTGTGTGGGCACTCCGGCGGCCTCTTGGGACAATCTCGGTCCAGCTGCTTCTCCTCCTCCTCCTCCTCCTCCTCCTCCTCCTCCTCCTCCTCCCCCTCCTCCTCCTCCCCCTCCTCCTTCTCCTCCTCCTCCTCCTCCTCCTCCTCCCCCTCCTCCTCCTCCTCCTCCTCCTCCCTCCTCCCTCCTCCTCCGGCGCTGGGAGCCTCCGGGGAGCACCTGGGAGCCTCCTGGGGCCGTCTTGGGGCGTCCTGGGGCTCCCTCCGAGAGGCCGGCGTCGGCACTCCTATTGAAGCTCCTGGAGGGGCAGCCCCAAAGGGCCTCCCTGGAGCCGCGTGGGGGCTCTCCTGGGGCTCCGGGGCCACCCCAGAGCTACATCTCCTCCTCCTCCTCCGCTCCTCCCCCTCCCCTTCCCCCTTTTCCTCTCCTCCTCCTCCGCCTCCTCCTCCCCTCTCTATCCTCCTCCTCCCTCCCCCTCATCATCCTCCTCCTTCCTCCGCCTCATCCTCCTCCTCTCCTCCTCATCCTCCTCCTCTCCTCTCCTCCTCCTCTCTCCTCCTCCTCCTATCCTACTCCACTCCCCTCCTCTCTCCTCTCCTCCTCCTCCTCCTCATCTCCTCCTCCGCCTCCTCCCCCTCCTCCGCCTCCTCCGCCTCCTCCGCCTCCTCCGCCTCCTCCTCCTCCTCCTCCTCCTCCTCCTCCACGAGCGGGAGCTCCAGGAGATGGTGAAACACCCGCAGGAATTCCTCGTGTGGTTTTTGACTGACTCGGTCCCTCGGAGGTCCTCCGTCTTTCGGGGGCGCGCAGACATGGATTACCGATCCATGGATTTGGCGCGCGGTCGCCAAATCCATAGAGCTGGGGAGGAGCCCTCCCCAAAACTGCGGCCGGTGCCGCCGCGTTCGGCGGCGGAGCTCCGCGATCTCCCATGGAAACGGTACCCGTCGCTCATCCACGCCCCCTTCATCCATGCTTGCGATCGCCTCTGTCTTGGGGCCCTTTATCAGAGTGAGGGGGCCGAACGGTCATTCACTGTCCCTGGGTGCGTGGCTGAAGTGGGATTCCGCGGTGCGGATTATCGTTGTTGTATGTTGTTGTTGTTGTTGTTGTTGTTGGTGGTGGTGGTGGTGTTGTTGTTGTTGTTGTTGCTGCTGCTGCTGCTGCTGGTGTTGTTGTTGTTGTTGCCCTGCTGAATTCTCAATACTGAAGAATAATTATTCATGATCCCTCCTCCCTCCCTCCCCCCACTCTTTTCCTCCTCGCTCTCCCTTCCTCCTTCCCCCTGCTCTTCCTGTTTTAGGGGCTGCGCCAACTACACGTGGCGAGTAAAAAAGATATACCCCCAAAGGGGTATGACCGAAGACGAAGAGGGTGGGTATCGAGGGTTTGGGATTTACATATTGAGTGACGCGCGCGCATATGAGAGCGTCAGTTCTTTAATATAGAATTGTTGTTGTTTTGTTGTTGTTGTTTTTGTTGTTGTTGTTGTTGTGTTGTTTGTTGTCTGTCGGTCCCACCCGCAACCCGCCCCCGCGACCCACCCGCGACCCACCCCCCATGCGACCCACCCCGCGATTCCGAACCGCCTAGTCCCCGCGAAAAGGGGCCCCGCGGGCCTCGGCCCACCCACCACCCGCGA